TTAATACAACTACAAGCCTCTTAATTAACTTTACTATCTAACTTAAACTTTATTAATATCTCTAGCTCAAAAATATATAAAAAGATAATATATATAATATCCATATTGATATCTAGGAAATTCTCATCTTAATCAATATCTAATAACAATATCAAATAACTCAACCTCAACAAAATCTACATCTTCTACAAATTATTCTCTCTCCTTATGATATACAATTAATTCAAGACTATATACTATCTTGTCTTTATTAAAATCAACTTACTAATCTCTACAACTAAATCTCAACTCTTAACCTAAATGATCTTCATTTTTATACTGATGCCTCAGTTAAAAATCTTAGAACTCCACAAATCCAATCTGGTATTGCTTGGATCACCTAGAACAATACAAATATTTACTTTAATGCAGTAGTCTTACAACATCCCAACACTTCCAGAACTGAAATAGAAGCAATATTATATCTACTATTATCTATGCTGAGCAACTCAACTATTAATATTCATCTTGATAACAAAACTACCATCAACTATCTAAAATTAGCAACTAACACTACCACTATTAAAGAAAAAAACTGGGATATAATTTTTATTATTAACCAAATTTTAACAAAAAAACAACTCCAAATAATTACTCACAAAGTCAAATCTCATTCAAAAAATAACTTTCATAATCAAGCTGATTTATTAGCTAAACGTAGAACTTCTAAACCAATAATATTAATTGATATTACTAAATTAGATTTTCCAATTCATTTCCAATAGTACTATATCCTATTACATTCAAAATTCATACTTTCATTAAGAATATTATAACTATCAAAGAACTCTATAACTGCTCACAATTAAAATATCTTCAAAATCTCCCTAAATCTAAATGATCTACTACTTTTTCTATAATTAACTCACTAGAACATAACTTATACAAATATTTACTTAGAATCAAACTAATAACAGATAACTTTCCTATAATACATAATCTTTCAATTCATTACCCTTATCTTTATCCAACACCAAATTGTACAAAATATCAAAATCTTGAAAATAATTTACATCTTCTCTCTTGCTCATCTAGCTTTAATAATATTCATAACTCACTAAAAAATATTCTTTTAGATTTACTTTCAAATTTTAAATTGAATCAGTCCTCTTTACAACAAATATTAGATATTCTCTCAAAACCTCTAATATATCACTCAAATAATACTTATCTTTTAGTTTTTCATATTATTATCAGCTACTACCCACTAACTACTTTTGATAATCTTAAAACTTTTCTACATAACAAAACAGAAATATTTCTTACAGATCTATTAAACTATACTTTGAATTGGTTTCATCAAAATATTTGGTTACTAAGAAATACTTATCAACACCAATAGGAATTATCTCGAAACATAACTCGAAAATCTAAAAAGAAAAAATTCTCTTTTCCAACTCTACTCGAACCAAAATTACCTCAAACAACCTAATTACAACTAATGCCAGATACTTCTAATTTTATAAAAAACTAGCTTTTATATAGCTTTTCTCTTTCTACATGTATTTTATAATATCAAGACTAACACCTTAGGTTTTCTCCTAACCTATCCCTTGTTTAAACCTAATTTAAAATAATTATTTTAATCTTTCTAGGAAATAGGGGGTGTAATGTCACATTGGATGTCTTAAATGTAGCACAAATATCTTAGAAATCTTAACTATTGTACATAGACTTAACTTTATAATTTCAATTAATAAAGTTTCTATTTTGGCATTATAAAAAAAAAAAAATAAAAAATAAAAAATAAAATCATCAAGTGCTTTTTATATTGACTTAAGTTTATATTAGATCAAATTATTAATATTAATATATATGAATTAACAGATTATTTCACTAGGTTCAATTAGTAAAGTTATATGACTATTATTATATAAATTTACTAATTGTACTTAGCATTAGTAATATAACCTGTTATAACTTGATCATATGTACAGGATACTATTAGCTATATATAATTAAAAGGATCTAGAATTAGATTGTCAAAATTATCTAATAATCTTGAAAATTGATAAAATGTATTAATAAGGTAGTGTAACTAAAATTGCATAGCAAAAATAATAGAAAAGTCTAAAGCTTATTATGAGATATTCATAGCAAATTTATAATATAAGCATATATAAAAAATAAATAAATAGAAGAATTAATCCTTAAAGATCGAACCTTTATTTCTGACTATTGAGTAAAGTAATTTTATCTAATTACAAATATTATAGTACTAGTATAGGAATGAAAGGAGGATATTATTAGAAGAGACTTAGTTAAAAAAGAAAAGTTAAACAAATGAAATAAATGCAAATATACAAACTACTATTAGATTAGATATTATGTATAAGGGTTATTTATTTATTCATGATACTATTTATGAAAAAATTTAAGCAATATATTTATATAATAAGCTATTCATGAAATTAATTTACTATTAATATAATTTGATAGTATCAGTATATTTGTTCTAATTCGATTCTATTTAATTTTAATTTTTTCAATTATACCTTACTATAATTATATATCTCTTTAATTATTTTTAAGGAAGTTCATTTAACTTCTAGATTCTATAATAATAGCATGATTATTTGAGCATTGTAAAACTAAAAGATACAGATTTTAGCTTTGTAGCATATATAAATTGCTTTATATTAATAATAATAATAATTAGAATTAATCTAATTAATATAATAAATATTTAAAAAGTATATATATATTTTTTAAAAAATAACTCATCAAAAAAAATTTTTTAAAAATGAAATCAATTAAATCCAAAGAAACAAAAAAAGAAAAAAACATTTATGATCTATTACAAACTTCTTTTACTATTGCAATAAATACTAAAAAGTACAGAGATAACATTTTAAATAAAGACTCTATATCTGAAAATAAGACAAGTTCTAATAATATTATTAGTTTAGATAGTGTAATTAGTTTAGATAATACAACCAATATACTTTCAAGTGATAATAAAAAATCAAAACCAAAATTTACTTGACTTTCAAAAAATAATCTTAAGTGAAATTCTACTTGGGAACTAATATATCTTTGGTTATATTTAGATCAAAAAGAAAAAAATTATACTTTATTTTGTAAACTTTGTAAAGCTGCAAAATTTAATAATAATTTTGTTACTAGTTGTGAATATCCTAAGGAGCAATCAATTAAAAGATATATAGAAACTCAAGATCATCAGAAATTAACAAAAATGTGAGAATAATTACAAATTAGTTTTGAGATAGAGTTTACTCAACAACTTGGTATTAGTTATTTATCTGTTATTCAAAATTTAATAAATACTTATTAGTTGGCTAAAAATATTACTACAACATCTAAAATTACTAACCTTACTTCACTAACTGAATATCATATTACAAGTAATATTGCAGAAGCATATACTTTTGAAAAAACTTATATTCTTGATTATTCGCTATTAGAATCATTAGAAGAACCTTGTGCAAATTATAGAAGTTACTCTAATACTCATTCAGCATATGAATTTATTAGTGCAATTAGAAGAGTTATTGAAGAAGCAATTTGTCAAGAAATTCAAAAATCTCTAATTTGGAGTATTATAATTAATAAGAGCAATACGATTACAACAACTAAAAATATTGCAATTGTTTCTAAGCATATATCAAATAACTTTTCAGTTTATTGCTATTTAGGAATGATTGAGCTTAAAGAAAGAACTGCAAATGCAATTATTAATGAATTAAATATTTTTTTGCAAACAAAAAATTTACTAATTGACTATTTAATGAATATAGGAAGTGATAGTGCATCTGTAATATTAGGTAATTATATTGAATTATATTTTATATTTTAAATATTATAAATTTAACTACTTTTTTTAAATATAATAAGGATGTAATAATAGTGTTGCTACACAATTTAAAAAAAAATCTATACCTTATGGAATATCATTGTATTTCTCATCATTTAGTATTAGCAAGTAAAAATACTATATCTTCAATTCTTTATTTAGTTAATTATAATGATATTGTTCGAAGTCTTTATAATTATTTTAGTAATTCTTATTCATAAATAGAGTATCTAAAAATAGTAGAAGCAAAATTAGAAGAGGCAGAACTTTATTATTAAAAATTATAACAATATAATAGCTTTTATTATCAAATGTAGTTTCTAATTTATATCATATAATTAGTTTAGTAGTTCAAGCACTTAAAGAAGATTATATAAAATCAAAAACTACAAAATTGTTATATAAAATGATTGATCAATATTTTCTTTTTACAACACATTTCTTAGCAGATATTCTTAGCGATCTTTAACATTTAACACTTATTTTTTAAGCTAATTATGTATATTTATATAAGATTAAAATTCAAATTGATACTGTTATTCAAAAAATTAGATCTAATTTTTTAGATACAAATAATTAAGAACCTATATAGAGAAATAATTTGTACTAATTTTTAGATGAAAATAATTTTTTAGCAAATAATATTCTATTATATATAAAAGAATTTGCACAAGCAATAATTAAAAATCTTTAAATACATTTTCCAGATCATAAAATTACTAATACATTTTGCATTTTTGATCTATGTAATTTACTAGGTATAATATCACTAAATGAATATAAAAATGAAGAAATTATAGTAATTACTAATTATTATAGTATAAGTAAATATAAACAAGGTAAATAATATTATTTATTTAAAATATTTTAATTTATTAATATAAATTTATAATTTTTTGGCACTACTTATTTACTATTTATTGAAAAAGTTAATTTAATTCAAGAATGTAAATATATTCAAATTTTACTTGTTAATTATTTTTCTTTAAAACCAAATAAAGCATAGTTAAAGCTTTTTAATACTTCTAATTTTTCAAATTATATTCAAATATTCTTAAAATTGTATTTCTTTTTTTAACACTTCTATTTTCTAATATCTTTACTGAATGAGTTTTTTTACAACAAAATTTAATTAAAACAAAAATTCGTAATCAAATACAAATTAATACTCTTAATTATCTTTTAATTATAAAAATTAATAGTCTACTTTATAAAAGATTTAACTTTTATAAGGCTTATAATTTTTGGGCTAGTACTTCATATTTTCATACATAATATACTATAATAGATATATATAAATATTATAACTTATGAAAAATTATTATTGCATTTTTTAAATTACTATAATAATTAATTTTATATATCTTATTAGAATTTAGAATTTAGAATTTAGAAAAAATGCTAATATATGATTAGCTAAAAATTATTTATAACCAATTACTAATTTGTATATTTTTTAGATTTTTATATATAAAGTAAAAATTTAATATATTAATTTTTAAATCTTATATTAATTAATTAAAAAAAATTATTTATTTTTATATGAGCTACTGTCAATAGAAATCAAGCAAATCTATATTTGAAAAAAAATCAATATCTTAACTTTCAAAGCTTATATCTCAATAAATTTTAAAGCTATCTTAATAGATTAATATTCAAAAGAAAGCATATAATTTAAGCTTTCTTTTGAATACTAAATAATTAAAATAGCTTTAAAATTCATTAAGATATAAGCTGTAAAAGTTAAGATATTGATTTTTTTTTAAATATAGATTTGCTTGATTTCTATTAACAGCAGCTTATTTAATAAATTCTTTTTTTTTTTTTTTTTTTTTTTTTCCACTTGAGCGATCTTGCCCTTTCCTTTATTATAGATAGTTTATCATAAGATAACATACAGCATACTATTATATCTTGACATAACTATATACTGCTCTAAGATGTGGTCCGGACTAACTCGGCTGCGTTAAACGTGCCCAAGTTCGATCTGCCGCAGAAGCCATTTATCTCCTAA